GATTATTCTCTTTCCTATTGTTTGTGATTTCTACATTTGTTCCTCATGATTTCCAAGGCTATCAGTTTATAAAGTACTGAAAGAGTACTGTAATGGATTGGAGATTATATATGCTTTTACCCAAATATTTATTTCTATGCTAAAAAGTAGAATATTACAAAGACTAATATAGCAAAGCCATAGAGTGGCCACCTAGAATGAACAGATACCACCTTGGAATCTGTGAGGACTATTGGATGAATGAGGGAAAGAATTTTTGTATTGAAGCATAAAATACATTTCAGTCTTATCCAAATAATGTTAAGTGACTATACTTTTGGTAAAATGTGTTTTTAAAAGTTTGCATGCATTAGAAACATATGAACTTAAATTAGTTTAAGAAAAGTAGCATTTGAGTTCATTGCAAAAGGCAGTTTTTAACATGAATGCTTAATATATTCTGTTTTGTACATTTGCTATGTCATTCCTATTGTTTGGAATTCTCTGTCTGAGCCTCTGTTATTGATCCCTAAGGAATATTTTTAAAAAATCAACAAACAGGGGCCAATGACAAAAATAGATATTGTTTTTGAAAACTTGCCTAGTTTGGGAACTATTTTAAACTTGCTATTGTACTTTGATTCTCAATTCTCTTATTCTCACTGTTGGAATGTTTATCAATTTTTTTTTTGTTTATCAATTTTTAAACTAAGGATTTTATTCCAGTTACAGAAAACAATTAAAATTGACTAATTCCAAAGGAAACTCTGAGCCATAGAAATTTTGGCTATGTAATTTTAATTTCAAAGTTTTTTTTTCATTTGAACATCAAAAAGTTCAGACTAGATTTTAATGAAAAATAATAACTAACGCGGTGCTTCTTAACCTTCCTAATCCTGCAATCTTTTAATACAGTTCTTTATGTTAAGGTGACCCTCAACCATAAAGTTATTTTAGTTGCTACTTTATAACTGTAATTCTGCTACTTTATACATTGTAATGTAAATATCTGATGTGCAGGACATATGATATGTGACACCCCAAAGGGGTTGTGACTCATACAGGTTAAGAAACACTAAGTTAGCATATAAAGTGACACTAATGAGCATTATGTACACCTGTGTTAGCCAGGAAACCCATTAGTTTAAAAACAAAATAATAATAATAGACCATTTGTCTTAGAGCATTTCATCCTGTATGTTCCTGTTTAATTAGTTTTGTAGCAGAGTTTAAGGCCTATTGAAGTTAGGAACATTTTCTTGACTACTTCTTTGGTTGTGTTAAATTTTCTGAATGTGCTTCCAGAGGTAATTTTGATATAATTTAAATTCTCTTTATTGACATCAGAAATAGCTATTGAACTGTCATTTTTTTTTCTTTATGCAGTTGTCTTAAGTTGAGAACAGCTTAAAATTAGAATACACTGAAATGCTGACTATTGCATAAGAAAGACACTGTGCTCTCAGAAAGCTCCTTTGAGGAACTTTTATGATGATATTTAAAAAAAATAATAAAAGTCATTTTTCTTTCATCAGTCCCAATGATTATGTTTTGGCAACATTCCTAAGAACTTGACACCTGTCACAAAATCATAATTTTCAAGGGAATTATTATCTAGACTCATTTTACTGTCTCTATCTTTGCATTGGTCATTCTACTAAACCTTAGAACATTTAATATTTGTTCTGTAGGTAATTTATTTCATGTGTTATCCGTGTGCTATGATAACAGAATTTGTATATGTTACATTAATGCAAGGGTAATCTATGAATTCACAACATTTTTAAGCATCCTTTGAAATATTGCTCAAGTTTCACAGATGCTGATTATCTTTCCCAAACAAAAATATACTGATTGCTATTTGTTCCTACTAAATTAAATAACTTATGTGTAAGGTATGAACCAAGATTAAATGAATTAAAATAATAAAAATTATTAGTGCCTCAAAATGATGTTTATATTTGCCAAAGAAAATAACAATCAGTGATGAAATTTAGCAGCATAAATTTGCGTACAAAAAAGTCATTTTATTGAAAAAAAAGATGGCTTTGCTTGTGTAAAGTGATTTAGTGGTCCCATTGCCTACAGCCTTGTATTTATCAGAGACAAGGTAAACCAACAGTACTTGATCACAACTGTTTGAGAGTTTCTATGCAGATAGGACTTGGGAATTTCCCTTCATGCTTATATATCTCTCTCGGGGTCCTCATTATTGTATAGATTCTCTGGAATTGTGAATTGTAGGCTGGTATTTCTTTGCTTTATGTCTATAAGAGTGAATACAAATGATATTTTTCTTTCTGGGTCTGGGTTACCTTACTCAATATGATGTTTTCTAGGTTCATCCATTTGCTTGCAAATTTCAAGATGTCTTTTTTTTTCTGCTGTATACTACTCCATTGTGTGAAGGTACCACAGTTTCCATATGCATTCTTCAGTCCAGGATCATTTAGGTTGTTTCCAGGTTCTGGCTATGACAAACAATGCTGCTGTGAACATAGTTCAGCACATGTCTTTGTGGTATGATTGAGCATCCTTTGGGTATATAACCAAAAGTGATATTGCTGGGACTTGAGGTAGGTTATTTCCTAATTTTCTGAGAAAGTGGCTGTACTAGTTTGCACTCCCACCAGTAATGGAGGATTGTTCCCTTTATCCCACATCCTCTCCTGCATAAGTTGTCAGGAGTGTTATTGGTCTTGGCCTTTCTGACAGGTGTAAGATGAATAGCTCAGAGTTGTTTTGATTTGTATTTCTTTGATGGCTAAGGATGTTGAGCATTTTCTTAAGTGTCTTTTGGCCATTTTAGATTCCTCTTGTAGTAGGAGCTGCAGGCTGCTTCCCTGCCACCCTGCTCCCAGCTGCCTGGTTAGCTTATGCCCCAAAATAACAACACATATACTGTATTCTTTTAAACACTGCTTGGCCCATTATCTCTAGCCCTTACTGGCTAATTCTCATATCCCAATCAGCCCATCTCTAATAATCTTTATAGCACAAGTCTTACCGGGAAAGATTCAGCATGTCTGACCTGGTGGCTTGCTTCATCGCGTCTGGCCCAGAGAGGGGAAGCATAGAGTCTGAGCTCACTTCCTCTTCCTCCCAGCATTCTGTTCTGTTTACTCCTCCCACCTATGTTTTAACCTATGAAGGCCAAGTAGTTTCTTTATTATAATTAACCAATGACCTTCCCCCATCATTTCCCCATTTTCTGTTTAAACAAAAAAAGGAAGGCTTTAACTTAACATAGCAAAATTACATATAACAAAACAGATTTCAAGTAAAAATTACAATAATCTTTATCATAACTAAGGAAAACTATAACTAACTATTCTTCTACTCCATCAAAGACTCCAGAAATATACAATATTACCTAAGAAAACAAGAAATAAGCAACTTCCAAACTCTAGAAATGACAGAGACATCTCGCTGCCTGGACAGTCACCCAAAGTTTCTCTGTACCGTTGGGGCATCCATCTTTGGCCTACAGGCCCATAGTTTCCAGCAGACATTTCCATGAAGCAGGAAATTTCAAAGTCAGTTCATGCACTATCTGTTGTGTCCTGCAGAATGTCTTGCAGACTCTTTCATGAATCAGGAACCCCGAAAGATTAGCTCACCTTTAGGTAAGTTCAGCAGTCCTCTATCTGCGGGTTCTCTGTGTCCAGTTTATGCAATAGTCCAGGCAAGAGCAGTTTCTTGCCCAAATGGCTATCAAACTCCATAAGGAGCCTCTTCGATGCCCATCGTCCTCTTGAAGTTGATTGGTGCTGCCAGGAGCAGAGTGTCTCATTGTCATGAAAAGTCCTAAGTTATTAAAACATNAAATTAACTATTATACATGACTATCCATTAACAACCTATATACATTACATTTTTATGTGAACCACACAATCACAATACCTTAATCAAGATCAGAAATACATATACATATAACAAAACTGACCTTAAATCTCTATCAATAAAGCAAAATGTATACTAATGCAAATTACTCATACCTCTATTAAGAGTTCTCTATTTAGGTCTGTACCCAATTTTTTATTGGATTATTTGTTCTTTTGATGACCAATTTCTTGAGTTCTTTGTATGTTGTGGAGATCAGACCTTTGTCCAGTGTGGGGTTGGTGGAGATCTTTTCCTATTCTGTAGGCTGCCATTTTGTCTTGATTACCATGTCCTTTGCTTTACAGAAGCTTCTCACTTTCAGCAGGTTCCATTTGTTAATTGTTTCTCTCAGTGTCTGTGCTACTGGCGTTATATTTAAGAATTGATTTCCTGTGCCAATGTGTTCAAGACACTAGTGTCTTTGAAGGGGGAATAGGGGTTAATATCTCTCCTTGATGCTGTCCTTGTTTGAATCCTTTCAACCATTTGAAGAACCAAGAAATAATATTGTTCCAAGAAAAGATTCTAAAATGGTAGCTAAGACAAAACTCATGTATTCAAAACACCATATCTTTGGGGGTATGTACTTGTGTGTATGCAAATTGGTGGTACTGTTGTACAGCTTGCAAATGCTTCAAACCTGTTCTTCAAAGCAGTCTCATTGGGGAGATTTTCTGTTGCCCCCTGTTTAGCAGTTTATGTCACCTTAGGTGCTTTAAGGTGTTTCACTGAATCAAATAAATGTCTAAATATTAGTATGTTTTAGGAGCAAAGGCATGTGTTCCTCTTTCCTCAATTAGTCCAAATTACTGAGATTTTACTATATATTTCATCCCAGGTCTGCTGCAGTTACCTGTAAAGAAGTAATTTATGTTATACATTAGAGAAGAAGCAGTAATTGATTTTTACTTCTGTTTGGCTTATCTTTTCTGCTTAAGTGCTGATATTTAATTTGTAAGGAAACCTCTAAACAGCTCTATATTTTTATGTTTATCCTCTTCCCTGAGCTAATGAAATAAATACATTTATTGATTTCAGAATCACCTTTATTAATGTAGTTAACATGCATTACTAATGTTATTCCATGTACTTGGATTAGAACCATTATTTTTTATGAATCAACATTTTTCTTTCAGGTCAAAGGAATGCAGATGCTGCAGAAGAAATTAGGCCCGGGCCTCCAAAGAAGAAAATGAAGGAATTGAGGATTTTGGATCCCAAAACAGCCCAGAATCTGTGTATGTATTATTTTCTGTGTATGCATAGGTGTTGTGATAATAGCTTATTCAGTGTAAACAACCTTCCAATTTTTTTGACCAGTTACACTGCTAGAAAATAGATGCTATATAATCTTCCTACTGTGTGGCCTCGTCCAGTCTTTATACAAGGAGGGGTGCCTAGTTTTTTTGCAACTTGATACTGCGTGTTTGGTTGAGATCTCTGGGAGACCTGCTGTTTGTTCATTTTCTTTTCTTTGAAGGGAAAAGAAGTGGAGATGGCAGAGGAAGGTGGTGGTGGGACAGGACAGGCAGGAGAGAAGGAAGAGGAAATTGTGGTCAGGATGTGATATATGAGAGAAGAATAAGAGAGGGAGAGAGAGAGAGAGAGAGAGAGAGAGAGAGAGGGAGGGGGGGGGAGGGAGGGGGGGGGGGGGAGGGGGGGGGGGAGGGAGGAAGGAAGATCATGTATAAATATAATCCAGGTTGCTTTTTGCCACTTAATTAAAATGAAGAAAATAAAAATTGAACATTGTTTAATCCACTGAGACCTATGAGTTTTAGATCTTTGGAAAGTATTGTTAATAAAACTTTTATAGTGAGCATTATAAAACCTAATATATGTTGGTATTCAAAAATATTAAGTTTTTATAATTATTTTTTAGACTAGTTCTAAAATTAATATTTTTTTAGAAATATTTTCTAGTCGGTGTTGACAAGTCATTTAATTACTATTCCCTTATTTGAAAGAATTGTAATATGATCTGGTTATATTGTTCTGCACTTCAGAACTGGTGGTTGATCCTGGAGGCCTTTTGCCCAGAACTGAGACATTAAATGTGGTGTTAGTAATGGAGTCAGATAGTTAAATTCATGTTCATTTCATCAAGCCTCTAAATGTTATATGGCATACTCTCTCTTCTCACATTGGTCCTAGAATATTTTCTTTTATCACTACAGAATGGTGTTTAGATTTTGAGAAAACCAGAAATTTTAACACATTCCTCATCTCTAATTACACAAAGAATATTGTGGGGGTTATTTAAGAATGAAATTAAAGGAAACAACTTACAATTCTGGCATCAGGCAAAATATACCTCAAAAATCGGTCTACTAATAGCTATCAAGAATTTTTGTCTTGTTGCAATGATAGTATTTTTTTTCACAAAGTTGATGTTCAGTAATTTTTTCAGTACACAGTATGATCTTATTTTCTGGTTAATATCTATCCATGAGATTTATTTTAATTTTTTAGTTCACATTCAGTTCCCATATCTAGTAATCATTTGCCTAGATGATAAATATTAAATTTTATTTTGTTACCAGTGCAAACATGCAGATCTTTTCAGAAAAAATTCATGAATATGTTACTTCAGGTTCTTCCTTTAAGAGCACACCTATATTCTTTTTAAAAGTGGATTTAGTGTAGACTGGAATGGAATGTGTTGTTTAAAAGTTCTGTCTGTGTAAGTGTAAGCTATCGCAGTTAAAATGAGTTGAATTCTTTCAAAGTGACATAAAATATATCCAATGAAGTAAATGATTCAGCATATGAAGAAACTAGGAATTCACTGCCTGAGTGTCAGCAAGAATGCAGAAGTAAGGCACTTCAGCTCTTTTCTGGCAGAAATAATAGTGTCCTACCATATTTGTGTGAGATCCATTCCAAAACTTCTAGTGGATGACTGAAACCACAGGAAGTACTTACCCCTGGCTGTCTCTCTCTGTATCTCTGTCTGTCTGTCTGTCTGTTTCTGTATGTATATATTTATGTATATGCCTGTGGTAAAGTTTGTTTTATACATTAGCCAGAGTCAGATCTTAACAATAATAATAAAGTCATATGATTACAATAATATTCCAGAAAGAAAAGTTACATGACTATGGTATGGTCTCTTTTCCCTCAGAATCTCTCACTGTACCTGTATCATTATTCTTGTGATGATATAAAATGATATTTTAAAAAAAACACCTGACTGTTTCTTCTTGGTAAATCAAGTGGGCTTCTTAAATATCCCCACATTTTGTGGTCATTGTTAAGAAGCGTATAGTTTGCTTTAAAGTAAGCAATGTCGTACTTTCACAGGAAATCTGCTAACTCCAAAGGCTCCCATTTTAGTTAACTTTTAGTCATTGTCAAAAACTAGTAGAGTAGGTCAGCTAAAAAGAAAAATTTTATTTTAGCTCTTTTTTTTTTTTTGCTGGTTTTTAGTCCATGTCTGGTCCCTTTTATTGCTTTTGGTCTCAAGGCAAAACAACAAAACATGGTGAGTCAAAGCTACTCAACTCTTAGTGGTAAAGAAACAGAGATTCAGAGAGATCGAGTTTGGAAGCAAGGTATACCATTCAGATCATGCCCCACTGAGTGAATTTTTTTAATTCTGCTTCATCTTCTAATAGTATATTTAGCAATGTATTTAAAGTATCAATCGTGCATTTGTCTTGAAGTCACCAATGAAGTCTTGTGGGCCAGTTACTTATCTGAAGTCCCATGTCTGAAATGTCCATTGGAGAGCAAACAGTTAGCATTAGAGGTTTTTGGAAAAAACATATTTTATGTTATCCATAACAGCCACGAGATGATTAGAGAGAAAGTAGCATGCATTTCTCAGATGTACTGTTTAATGAGTTTCAGGAGATAAAGTGAGATGACATGCAATTTCATGCTACTACTCAAAATAACACAACATAGCTTTTTTCCCCGCACTACCCTGGGATGGGTCCATACGGCGTTGTTCTTGATTCCCGACGTAACTTAAAGGGAAACTTACACAATGTCCGGAGCCCTTTATGTCCTACTGATGAAGGAGGAGGATGTCCTCAAATTCCTCGATGCAGGCACCCACTTAGGTGGCACCAACCTCGACTTTCAGATGGAGCAGTACATCTACAAAAGGAAAAGTGATGGCATCTGCAGCATCAACCTGAAGAGGACCTGGGAGAAGCTGCTGCTTGCAGCTCGTGCTATTGTTGCCATCGAGAACCCTGCTGATGTCAGAGTCATCTCCTCCAGGAACACTGGGCAGCGAGTCATGCTGAAGTTTGCTGCAGCCACTGGAGCAACTCTGATTGCTGGCCGTTTCACCCCAGGGACCTTCACTAACCAGATCCAGGCAGCCTTCAGGGAGCCACGGCTTCTAGTGGTGACCAATCCCAGGGCTGACCACCAGCTCCTCACAAAGGCGTCTTAAGTGAACCTGCCCACCATTGCCCTGTGTAACACAGACTCACCTCTGAGCTATGTGGACATAGCCATCCTGTGCAACAACAAGGGAGCTCACTCAGTGGGCCTGATGTGGTGGATGCTGGCCCGGGAAGTACTCCGCATGCGTGGCACTGTCTCCCGTGAGCACCCATGGGAGGTTATGCCTGATCTTTACTTCTACAGAGATCCAGAGGAGATTGAGAAGGGAGAACAGGCTGCTGCTGAGAAGGCCGTGACCAAGGAGGAGTTTCAGGGCGAATGGACTGCACCAGCTCCTGAGTTCACTGCTGCTCAGCCAGAGGTGGCTGACTGGTCTGAGGGGGTGCAGGTGCCCTCGGTGCCCATCCAGCAGTTCCCTACTGAAGACTGGAGTGCCCAGTCAACCACTGAGGATTGGTCAGCAGCTCCCACAGCGCGGACCACCGAGTGGGTTGGAGCCACCACTGAGTGGTCCTGAGCTCCTCTGCAGTCACCTGAGCAAAGGGAAAAAAGGTGGAAGGAAAATAAAGTTCCTACAAGCTGAAAAAAAAAAAAAAAAAAAAAAAAACACAACATAAAACTCACTAAATAATCCTTTCTTCAATTTTCTAATGAATAATTTTAAACTAAGATTTAGAAAAATAAGGTGATGTTTACATTTTTGTCATTCGTTAGAAATTCTATGTTGGATGTATCTAAAAATTTTGAAATTAAAATATAGAATGACTCAAAAGACCATTTTAAACTAATCTTTTTTTTAATTTTAAGTTTTGGTGGGTTATTTTGTATCAGCTTAATATAAAATGCCTGAGCATAGTGTCATGAGAGATCTAAGTAGGGTTGTTTTTGTACATATGTGTACTTGAGATGCAAATGCTATAGGTAATCTTGCCTATATGGATAGTCCATCAAATAGAAACAAGATATAATTCTGCAAATTAGTCTATTAGTGACAAAATTTAATATTTCCATATATACATGATTAATTATATATAATTAAATTAATAAATTAATTAAATATATAATGCTTTTAAATTTTGATAATATTTTGTCTCTAATAAAATCCCATTTTATTTTAGCTATATTTCTAGGATCTTACCGCATGCCATATGAGGAGATAAAGAACATTATTTTGGAGGTTAATGAAGACTTGCTCAGTGAGGCCCTAATTCAGGTATATTAAATATCTTTGGTTTTAAAATCATTTTCATAAATATTTTAGATGCATCACTTATCAATGGTTTTATGAAAAAAGTTTTTTACTTTGGATAATAGAATCTGAAGTGTTATTATTGAGGTGACTCAGTCTTTAAGATCCAGGTTGCAGTTCTTTCTTGCCATGCCCGAGATATCGTGCTTTTAAGTTTAAATAATGTGCATTTGTAGATATATCATTCTCTGTACATTACAGAATCGCATATATTTCATCTTCATAATGGGTTCATTAAATAGTTTTTTATTACAATATTACGGGTGAAAAAGCCGAGTATGCCAGGCAGTGGTGGCATATGCCTTTAGGCCTTTAGTATGCCAGGGCTCGGGAGGCAAAGGCAGGAGGATCTCTGTAAGTTCTAGGCCAGCCTGGTCTACGGAGTGAGTGCCGGGACAATCTCCTGAGCTACACAAGAAAGCCTGTTTCAAAAAATAAAACAAAATAAAGAAAGAAACAAACAAGACAATTTAAACATTGCATAGTCTATGGATCTTTCTCAGGATCCGTAGGTAAATGTGGTAGACTATTCTTTGTTGGATACTTGTGCTGCATATTATATCAAACACTTGGTATTTATCATTTCATTGCATCTTAAAACACCTCATGAAATAAGTGTTAGTGATAATGTACTCCCTTTAGCAAATGAGAATCTGAATTTCAGATTATTCAGTATTACATCTTGAAGTATCGAATCTAAGCTTCAAAACAATATCTAAAGGGGCTGCAAATATAGTTCAGTGGTAGGGTGCTTGTCTACCCTAATGCTGTTTTGAGCTCCATTCCCAGTACTATGTAAACCCATGGTTGCTCATGCCTGTAATCTCTGCACTTAGGAAGTGACCGGAAGAGTAGGAGTTCAAGGCCTGCTTAGTACACATGTGTGAGGCCCTGTTTTAAAAAGGAAGCAGATACCAAGTAATTTATTTTATGTACCTATAAAAATTTATTTCCCCCATACTCTCTGTAAGTAATAGAGAACATTATTAATGACACAAACAAGTCAAATTTATGTGGATGGTTTATGTCTGCATTCCAGTTTACCTCATGTATATTTTAAATCTGAACATGCTCATTTACAATAGGATTAAAGCTTGATGGGTTTATACTGACTTTTTGCTATTGTGATACACATTTATGTTCAATATGGCATGTTTATGAAAATCCTCTTTTAGAAAAAAATTAACAAGGTTTGTTTTATTATTTTTAAGCTCTTGTGGGCAACAAACATGGCCATTATTCCTTCAGTTGAAATGGGTAGCTCTTTACATTCATTCTGGCACAAACACACACGCACGCGCACACACATTTAGTAATAATGATTTAACAAATATATTGTAAAAATAGGAAGGTACAAAATAGGTGAAACACAGAAGGAAAAAAAAAACATTACCAGTCATATAGATGTTCGAAAAAGAAAGAGTTAAAGGTTTAGCAGCATGTATAGAGGTCTAAAGCACAAAAAGAGAGCCTGTACAAAGTCAACCTTCAGAGATCAGGTAGGAAATTTTTGGAAGCACCAAGTTGCCAAGCACTATTTTAATTCGGTTCATTGTCCCTCACTTTCCCAAAAGGAAAAGTAAGATCTGTGTAACAATTTGAAATGCAGCTATTGACTTTAGTGTAGACCAGTTAAACTAGGAAATTTAATAAACAATATTAAGTTGCTACTATATCAAACTGTAAACAGTCCATTCCTCTTAACTAGACCAAACTCAACCAATTTTTAAAAAAGCAAAGGTGCATTATACATACTATAAAATAATAGAAGCAAAGACCTTTCATATTTCTATATGAATACTTTGAAACCTAGTTTCATATGGGGATGTCATAAGTGAGAATTTTTTCTTTCTTTTATTCTCAAAAGTACTTAAAACCTGATTTTAAAAATAAAAAAAATAACAGTTATACTGACAAATTTAATGACTTGAGGCTTTTACATATATGCAATATTTTTTCATTTGCCAGGGTATGCAGAGGAAAAGATTTAATGTTGTAATTCACAAAAGTATTGCTATATTGATTGACTCTCAAACTATGATCATATCCCATTACAGTTATTTTTCTTTAAATATGAATGATGAAAAAGCTTTCATTATTGAGATATCGCAAGTTTACCTGCCTTGCCTTACCATATTTTAAAACAGAATGAATGCTACATTCAAAGAGAAGAAGGGTAGCTAAGCCATATTTAGCTTTGTGTCTTATTCATTACAACTGTTGTACAAATAATCCTAGGACAGTTCAAATCAGCACAGGTGCCTCTGGAGGCCAAAGGCATCAGATACTCCCAAGAGTTGTGAATACAGACAGTTGCAAACTACTCTAAGTTTGTTCTGGGAGCCAAACTCAGATGCTTTCTGAGAACAGTATACTCTTTTAACCATTGACTCATCTCTCCAGCCTCAGTCTTCTGTGTTTTCATGTCTTCTATTTGATAAGACTCTGTTGAAAAGCCAGATTGCTCATTGTACACTAGAGAAACTTTTTTCATTGCCTATCATAGTCAATCCAAATTGATTCTCTCATTTTTACATAATAAAAATTAGTCTATATTTAAGATGTGTCATATATCTGAAAATATTTTGATAATGAAGGATGCTCCTCATGTGAAATTCTACACTCTTGTTGCTTGCATGAGATTACTTTCCTCATGCAGAAAAGACTAGCTTCACTGTGACCTCTTTCTCACTCCCAAACTAGATATGTTTGCTTCAATGATGCAAAAGTAGTATCAATTTGCCATTCATATGAGATGTTTACCATTTATGTCTAATTACCATGTAACACATTGATAATGCACAACATTAAATAGGTATCATCAGATCAACTTTGTTGTAAGTTCTATTTGATTACAGTGATAAACTCCATCCATGCATAATCACAGTTTGTTGTACATGAACATGGTTTTCTCCTCATAGCAACAACAGCAAAAAAAAAAAAAAAAAGAAGAAGGACACATCATTTCTGAAGAACTTGGATTAACACTTATTTTACATCTCTTAGAATGGATCAATAAACTCTTCCTCACTAGACAGCTAGAAGACTGTACTTATTTGATAGGATAAATTGCCTACTTAAAAAAAAACTAGTTTTATTTAGTCAACATGATAAAGTTCAAATGTTAAAGTTACAAATAAAATACTAATCCTTCATATTTCCATATGTCTCTTATATTTCCATATATCAAGATTTAAAGTAGATATTGAAATCACTGTGTACTAGAAACTGAAATGTTTTATAATGCTTGCTATAACATATAGAATCACTTTAGGATGTTCTATATTTTCAGATTGTTGGGGTGCATTTATTATATATAATTAGTCTCTTTTTGTAACGTGTAATAGATTTAGGTGGTTCGTAGCATCACTATTCCAGTATTGAAAACCCACTTTAGTATAATTTAACTTGATCTTTTAAGATAAGAAAAAGAGAAAAAAAACCACACGGAAACACACACACACACAACTAGTCTTTAATAGACTATATGTCATTAAAATAATGTGTGCAGACAAAGATACAGAGCTGACAAAAATGAAATTAGCAATTTATTTTATTTTTTTAGAGAAAAAATAAAGTATGCTTTACTTGCGATGAATAGTGCTTGAGAATAATTTTTTTTTTATTATTTTTAGAGCAATGCTATTTTATAAACCAATCCCATTTCCTTCTCCCGCCTACCCTTCCACTCTCCCTAGCTTCTCCACACCCCACCACCTTCCACTTCTCAGAGAGGGTTAGTCCCCCCATGATGAGTCAGCAAAGTCTGTCATATCACCTGAGTCAAAACCTCTGTATCTAGACTGAGTAACTCTCCATTGGGAATGGGCTGGAGTTCATGCACTATGGTAAATTCTGGTTCCACTTCTAGTAGCTCCACAAACTGCCCAAGCCACACAATTGTCACCCACATTCAGAGGACCTAGTTTGGTCTTATGCAGGTTCCCCAGCTGTCCGTTTGGAGTCAGTGAGCTCCCTCTTGCTCAGGTCTGCTGTTTCTGTGGGTGAGTACCATGGTCTTGGCTCCACTGCTCATATTAGTGCTCCTCCCTCTCTATGACTAAATGCTAGGAGTTTGGCCCAGTGCTTAGCTATGGATGTCTACATCTACTTCCGCAGTTGCTGGATAAAGGTTCTATGATGACAATTAAGGTAGTCATCAATGTGATTACAGAAGGAAGGCAGTTAAAATACCCTCTCTACTATTGTTTAGTGTCTTAACTGGGATCATCCTTGGTGATTCCTGGGAATTTCTCCAGTGCCTGTTTTGTCACTAATCCCATAATGGCTCACTCCATCAGGGTATCACTTTCCTTGCTCTTCCTCTCTGTACTTCACCCAACTTGACCTTCCCAACCTCTCATCTTCTCCTTCTTAATTGCTGGAAAAATATATTGATAGAGAAATTGTGCTTATATTTGCCAGGCATATGTGAGAGTAGAAGGTAGTATATGGTGCCGAAAAGTTTTTAATGAGATGTTCAGTGCAATTGGAAAGTATTCAGCAGGTTTTGAACATGGAACTGTAAAATAATTTATCTTTCTTTTATTGTAGTTCTTATTCATATTTTGTGTTTCATTTAATTAAAAATGTAAACAATAGACCAAAATAGTAATAATAATATTTATTACTGACAGTAATAGAAGTAATAAATATTTCCTTTTCATGTTCCATTCATGACAGATATCAAGAAACATTGTTTATACTCCTTACTACTTATAAATTACTTATTAGGATTGCCACTAGATCTTGCTTTTTAAAGTTTTAATCAAGAAACACATCTATTATTATATAGTATTTGCTTTGGTAAATATGTTACCAACTCTTTTGATACAGTTGGTTTCATTTATAATGGTATATATTTGATTTTATTTTGAGAACTGACCCCAAAATTTAAAAAAAAAAAAAGTCCATCGGACAGCCAAGAAGGCCAGAACCTGATAGCTATGCTCCCAGAGTTGCTG